ATCTTTCCTTTACCCTTCCCCTGATAACCTCTCTGCATCTTGTCATTCTCCTGGTGAGTAGTATCTCCATTGATAACCACCCCCTTGTAACTCCTAGCCCGATCGTCCATCCTTGCCATTCATCCATCTCTAGTGTCCGTCTCTTTTCAGTTTTGTCTGTAACCAATAGACAGTGATCCATAGCATGAGAAACACTGGAGCATGATTGGAAAAAACCGAAAAGCTTCTCATACTTTAAAGTAACCTGAGCCTCCTCCCCTTCATAATGTTCTCCTTCTGTGAAGTCCACTGTTGTATCAAAGCACAGCTCCTTTAGCCCATCCACAATCACTCGTATCTTCCCCTGATCCAGATCTACATCAGTTGTCTCACCAAGAGCATCTCCTATGCCCTGAAACTCCGACGAGACTCCCATGACTTTAATCCAGAAAGGAATCACAAAAGGGAAACTCCTTAGCCTCTTAGGTTGCCACCTTGCCAAAGATAGCATCCAGTAATCAAAGTGAAACGGTTGCATCTCCAGCACCGCCTCCCATATCCTCCTCCTTCTCAAAATGGAACTGAAACTTCCCCATTCCTAGGTCTGTGCCCATGACCCTCTCTTCCATCTTCCAAATCTTTGGCATCGTAACTAGCAGAGCCTTCACGTCTTGCGCCGGGGGATTAAAACATCTTCCAACCAGAGTCATGGAATAACTCTTGATGAGATCGGAGTTATCAAAATAGGGAATGGAAATCTGTAATCTCTTTCGTGTTCCTTCTCCAGTCTTCATGTCGCCCTTGTTAGCCATCAGTTGACTCTGCGCCATCATCTCCGGAACCAAAAGAAACCAGACAGAAGTAGAGAACTTTTGTTTTTTGAGAATGAAAACTATGAACAACAAGTTAGAATCACTCCCCCTTTTAAACTGTACCGAAATCTTCAATCTTCCATTCCAACCTTCCACACCATTAATATCGAAGATCTCGACCACGATCCATAGAATCAGAAACCCAAAATTAATTATCTTCGAAACCCTCTCAAACCTTCCAAAACCATCATCATTGGTCAGATACAAAAGCCAGTTTTCGCAAACACCCTGAAGAGAAAATCGTATCGTATCTCTATTTCCAGAATCAGCAATAAAGGCTTTCGTTTTGATGAGAACGAAAATCTTGACTTGCCGATATTGAAGTAGATCTGATTGATACTCCCTTCCTCCCGTGTGCCCACATGTAGACCTTATTCCAAATATCTCCGGTTTTGCTTCAATCTTGCCAAATCTTGGTAAATCCGCATAAATCCAAATTTTGAGCATATCCCTTCGAATCCATAACTTAGGATCTTACTTTTATGACTTAGGTCACCCCAAATCCAATGTTCCTCTTCTAATCCCAGAGCCCCTTCTCGAATAATCATGAAAACCCCTTTCTCGAATAATCATGAAAACCCTAGTTCGTCGTCGCCATTCTTCTTACAGTATTTTTAGTATTTAATCCCAAACTACATTCAGAATACATGTTCTAGGTAAATTATACTAATCCCAAATTATTTGGAATACACATTCCTTGCTTAACCTAGCCCTCTAAAATCAGTAGAAAATCGGAATCTACACGTTACCTATAAATCTAAAATCAATAAAAATCAGTATTTATACATTATTATAAATTTAAAACCTATAGAAACTTATTTCAAACATTATTATTTTAGTCTACATATAGTAGAATACATATTCGGATAAATACAATTAGCTCCAAAAATATGGCAAGAAAATATTTGGAAATATTCAGTTTCCATATATTAAAATCGATTTTTCAGAATTTTGTTTTTTTGAAAAAAACATGCATATTTGAATTTGTTTTGCAACACTTTTATTCTTATTTTTTTTACAGCACTTTCATTTTTAATGTTTTTTTTATTTTAATTACTTTAAATTTTTTTACAACATTTTAATTATTTATTATTTAACTATTGTTTTTAATTGTAATTTAAAAATTTTAAATGAAATTAAGGACATTATTGCTGTTTTGAAAATATTAAACGTAATGAGATATAAAGTATATGAAATTATCCTAATGAGACATAACTACCATTTTTGGTCTAAAAATAATTTTCCCTTTGTATTTTGGTTATTGGTAGGTAGCCTAATTCTGGTTGTTTGGCAGGAACAAAAAATCTGGACGACAAAAGTAAAAGAAGAAGAGACAGAAGATTCTTTTTGCTGTGGTGATTTTAATAGTGTTCTATTAAAAATAGCATGAAAATCAGAAAAAAAAAAAACTTTGCAACTTTTTTAATCTCACTTACTGATATTTTGCAATCTAAAGTTAAATCAAAGTCATTTCGCAAATTTCTGAAAATAAGTTGTACAGTTTATCAATAAGCATACAATTTTGCAAAGTCAGTTTACAAATTTTGTGATGATTTTGGTCTTCTGAGCTTTTTGTACGTTGTTTACAAATCGTTGGCGTATGAATTTTATTTTAACCTTTTCTTACTTCTATCAGTTTTGAATCAATTACTGTATAAAAAAAATCAACTTGCTTAATATAATATTGAACAAGTTATCAATCTTCCATCTCGAATCCTAAATTATTATCTACTTCGTAGATATTTTCTATAACAATTCGTAGATATTTGAATCCTTGTAAACTTTTTCTTTAACGGGCAAAGGCGGAAAGATCATAAATATTCTTCAAATCTTGGCAAAAAATGTTTTTTTAATTCCCACATAGTTATAGTGTCGAACATTTGCATTATATATCGGAAATCTTAACTAAATCACATGATTTTTACTACTAGAATAATTCTCTTTTTGATTTTAAAAATAAGATGAAAAATGTTATTATAAATAACTTCCTCTATATATTAATTAACAAACATTTGAAAAGATGTAATATTAAATTTGTATTAATGAAAAAATAATTTCATTTTATATGGCATCTCTCTATGTCTTCTAATTCAATTTATAAAGATTCTAGAACATTTTATATAGACTATAGCCTAAAAATTGTACTCTTTAGCAATATAATATTTTGTAAGCTATAATTGGTTGCATATATCAAATACTTATTGTTTCGCAGATTTTTCTTAAACAAAACCTACATAATTACCTAATGTAATTAATATATATATATATATAACAATTAAATGATTTAAACAATACAGATTTGATAACTATTCTGCGAGTGAGGCAAAAGCACTAAGAAAATTCATATAGTGACTGCATGATCTGTAAACATGACTTTCGAGTCGTGTGCTATCAGAACGTTATAGAAAAATGCATCAATTGTCTAACAAAATTGCCACATCAAAAATATTATTTATTATGTAATTATTTTATTAATTTTCTCTACTATATTCATCCTACTAATTCTTCCATTTGATTATGAGTATGTGTTTCTTTTTAAAAATTGTTTGTTTGTCATTAGAATGATGTCTAGAATCCATAGATAAATACATTGGTCCAATTAAACATATATTATACTTCTCATTAAACTAAATATAAAAATGTTAAGTAATATAAAAAATATTTCAGTCTTCCTTAAATAAAAGTCAAAGAATTACCAAATCTAATTAAAATATATATGAAAATTAATAATTTGAATAATAAAGATTTGATAAAAATTTGTCTATTCTAAAGCATTTTGTTTAATTTTATATTATTTTTTTAAAAATAGGAATTACATTAACCATATAATAAAATTTATATTTTTTATTTTCTGTTTTAATTTTTTTTAAACAGTTAGAAGTTATTAAAATTTGTTAAAAGTCAACACTGTTTCTAATCAAGGGTTTATTTTTTTTGTTATAACAAGATACAAATTATCATAAAAATTATACGTATTAAATCTCATTTTAATAGTATTCCGATTATATATATAGTAATATAATTTAAATTAACTTATATACTATTTTTTTATTGAAATTGTAAATATGTATCATACTTGAACTGATAAAAATTAAAGATCTTACCATTTTAATTTAATAAAATCAGGAAAATATATTTTTAATTTCTATCGTTATTATGGAAAACTTATGTTAAAAATTTTCTAACTAAAATTAATGATTAAAATTTTAAGTTATGAAAAAATTCCTAAATAAAATATTATTATTTTTGGCAATATATATCAAATTTTTATTTGTGTTAGACACCTAAATAAATTAATGATGAAACTTTATATTATGAAATTATTTATATATAAAATATAAATAAGTTTCTCTATATTGCATAAAATACATTTAATGAAACGAAAAATCAACTTGATACATTGTTAAGCTAAATAGAGAAAATAACAACATATGTTTATTTGAATATGTCGTGTTTATGTTTTTCTAACCAAAAAGTAATAGTCTAAATTTCATAAATTCAATTTTTTTGTTAGATCAAATTTAATATCAAAAATTTATTTATGCATGCAGGAAAACATCTAGCTAATTTGTCTAAGATAAGTAACTAATCTAAAATATGTGGATGAACATGAACGGATTGGACAGACCGTCAAACCGTCCATGGCCTTTGTTGAATGAGATACACATTATTGAGGGAATAAAAATAAAAAAATCATTATACTGTATTTGATTCTATGATTGTGATGTTTCCATGTATAGATATTCATTCGGAATATTATCTTATACAGCTTTACATTTTAAATATTAGATAGCTTCAAAGAAAACGAATGTTTGTATGCAATGCACGCGGATAATTCATAAGAATACATCATTAGAAAAATATAGATAAGTTCAAAGTGTATCTTGGTACCCAGAGCTGGTGGCTCTACTTATAATGTTTTTTATTCTAAAATAGAGGTGTCAGATTCAAGTCTCAGAAACTATGAAAAATGGATTTAATAATCTGTTTTTTTGTCTATGATCCAAAGAAATTATAGACTTGGCCAAGAACATCTTGAATTAAAAAAAAAATGTATGTAGGTTCCTTTAGTAACGAATAGATTTGTCTATATAAAGGCCTTTGGCTTTCGTTTCCAAATCAAACTGAAACCAAAGATAACACAGAAATAAAACACATTTCTTCTCTTCTTTGGAATTCATTGGCAATGGCTCAAAATGATAGAAATACAAGGGTAGCTCAAAAGGCGTTTGAAATGATCGATAAGGTGTACGGTAAGTCCCCCAAAATAACCCATTCGCCAAATGTTCCTAGAGACGAGTTCGTTTCTCGTTATAACCAAAGTTCTTATGAATATGGTGGTCCCAAAGTGTACACCATGAAAGAGGCGACTAGTACTATTAGTTGCCGCCGAGTCATTTATCAGTATTCAAACAGTTCAACTATAAAAGAACCCATTGCTCCTCACCCCACAGAGCATAGTCAATACTTCGGTGGTGCCCGTACTTTTATGGGCCATGCCAACTGGTTTGCGAGGCCAAAAGGGAGGGCTATTAGCTGCGATGAGGCGGTCCAACTCTACGGAGGGGTGCTTATAAAGGAATTTCGTAAGTAAGTGATGCATGGTGAGTTTTTAACAAGGTGTGATATGTTTTGTTTCTGATTTCGGAAAAGTGACACATATGCTAAAGCGTGTTGTCATGGCTTTCACTTAGAATAAGCTTTAGATCACTATCAAGTGTTTCGTCTGTTATGTATCTACTAGTACTTTAATTAAGTTGATGCTTATGTACTTAAAATATTACGGCTTTACCAATAATAATGGAAGCATATATGCTAGTGTAAATATGTGTTCTTAAGCATGCATAAAATAAGCTGATGTTCCTAGAACCGGCTCCTGATTTTTAAAGATTTCATACGGGCCAAAGATATTTGGGGTTTTTAATTTTAATCTACACTTTTTTAGTTATATATTATATAGTTTTAAGAAATATCTTGGATATTGACCAACGAAAAAGGAAAAAAATATCTTGGATTTTTCTATTTGACGTAATATATTTATTAGAAGTATTTAAACAAGTTGTTAAAATTCAATAGTAATAACTGATAAGAGAAAACTCGAAATAGCATCGATTCGATACATTAAACACGAGAAGAGATAACAGTCCATTTTATTGGTGAACAAAACTTGCATTCACCCCCGTGGTGAATGGAAGAATTCACCCCCGTGATGAATGGAAGAATTCACCCCAATCTTTAAAACCAATCAAATTGCCACATATGATTAGTTAAAAAATAAATTAAAATTAAAAAAAAAGAAGAAGGAAAATAGCTTAATTAGAAGAAAGAAGAAGCCGTTAACAGAGGAATAGAACGTGTCTCCATCGACTTCTTCTTCGTTACCCACCACAAGAAAATATGAAAGAAATTTTGTTTGTTAAGTTTGAATCTCCAATTCGATGTTTTCAAATCCAATTTTGATTTTACCTTCTCCAAATCAAACCAATCCATGTTGCTTTATAACCTAGAAATATCACCAATTATGTAGAATCTCCAATAAAATAAAAGTCTAATTGTTCTATGTTTTCTAGGGTAAACTGTCGATGTCTTATCATCATTCTCCAAACTCTTATGAAATAAAGAGATAAAGGAATAAATTACATGAATATACGCATTAAACTAGTATAACCAGACATAGACTAGCCACCTGGGGCTCCCTCTTTCACCCATGTGCTGTCTTTGTTCTAGTCATGAAGAAACTCGATCGTGACCGCCTGCTCCTATCCTGCGAGTACAGCACAGAGGACAGAGGTATTAGTAACTCTCTCCCCACCATTAGCTCTGATGCTCACCTGGACTGAGCTTCTTTTATGGCTGCGGTCCCCAACCTCAAGGAAGCTTTCTATTCTCTGGAAGATTGCTGTGCAAGTGACTGTTTTCAACATATGGAAACAAAGGAACAATCTTATACACAATCAGACTTCAGTCTCTTCTGTTGCAGTTTATAATTGGTCGAGAAGTTCGAAATACAAATCTTGGCCAGAAGACATAGGAAGAAGCATTACAATCTTGGTTAAGTTAAGGCTTAGTAATTATGTAACCTTTATGGATTTTTCAGTTGCTCTACTCTGTTTTTTTTTTTTGCCGGAGTAGTCGTATTGTCTAGGTTTTCTCTTTTGTAACCTTTTACATCATTGATATGATATTTGCCTTTAGCAAAAAAAAAACATAATACCTTTTGAAGAAGCTTTAATACCTCTAATGATGGACACTAAGCTTTTTATGCTACAAAAGGATAATGATGGGTACGGTACATAATAGACAGAGCATTAGCCTTAAGGATTTTGTATTTTTTCATCATATCCCAAAGTTTGACAGAAAGCAAGAAACATTTATTCACTTGAAAGAATCAAAACAAGAAGATCACATAACAAGTATATTAAAACCTATCACCAGATTCAAAAGCTCACATGCTATATGTGATTTTACTTCTCTAAATCCTCGTAAGAATACAACACATTCATAACATCAACAGCTCGGCCTTTGCAGAACCACAAAGGCTGATCCTTGACGATATCTGCAACCTGGAAAGAACTAAACATCTAATGGATCCCTAAAACCACATCAAGGATACAACACATTCATAACATCAACAGCCGTGAAGCCTCTAAAGGATTTGATCAAAACATCTAAAGGATCCCTAAAACCACATCAAGGATTATTACTATTATATGAGAAGCATGTTTCAGAAGAACATACATAAACAATGTCTATAACATTATATGAGAAGCATGTTAAACAATGTCTTCCGTTAACGGCGTCTTCTTAAGCTATTTTATTTCTCTAGTTTTTTTGTTTTAATTTATTTTTAACTAATCATATGGGCAATTTGATTGGTTTTAAGGATTGAGTTGAATTCTTCCATTCACCACAGGGGGTGAATGCAAGTTTTGTTTTTTATTGGTGCATTTGGGGGCGTCAACTGAGATATTAAGTTGCGATTTACGTAGGATACAATTTGATGGGAACAACCCCTTTTAATAGGTTTTATATTTGATCCATGGAACAGAGTGGCTGTTTTTGTTGTGGAAAATGTCCAATCCAGTTAGATGGATTATATTAAATGAAATATGGAAATGAAAAAAAATTATTGCAAAAAAACTTTGGCACCGAAAATAAAATAAATGTAATAAAACTTTTCTTTATGGTTTAGATTTCCTCCATGGATTTCCTCTTGGCCCATCCAGTAGCTAAAAAGAAGCAAAATCAGAGAACATCACAAATTAACTTACTAACTTAATTAGCATTGAGAAGGAGAGCTCAAAGTTTCATCACACAAAGATGATAATATACAAAATGAATATACTAACACAAAATATTTCACTCAAAAGATGATAATCTACAAACTGAAAATATTATCGTTATCTTTGTTCACAAAGATTATATTTCAAGAATATACACTGGATCGATCTTCTTTAGTTCAGTCTTCTCTTCACTTGGTTCCGAGATAATGATATCACACATCATCTTTGTGTGGTGAACAAAAAAACGATTTCATGAACAAAGATAACAATGATAATATTTACTAACTGATAGTGATATCAACTGCTCCTGTGAGATTCAAAGGACAGTGGTCAAACATTATCTCTATAGCTACCCGGCCAAGTTTCTATTCGGATATACACAGAAGAAGAAAAACAAACTAGCTAGGTTCTGAGATTCTGAAAAAATTAGGAGTCAACTAGCACCTGAAAAAACTTGTAAGCTACCTCAAGGTATGTTTTGTAGAAAGTATTCATCATAATCTCTATGTTCATGTCAATCTAAATCCTACAAAAAGATAGAAAGCATAATATGATATACACATGATACTGTATTTATAATTTACAAACATAAACTATACTACATTAATTGCATAAAATTGAAAACAAAACGCTACAATGATATTTCCTTCAGCTGTGTACCTCACAAAAGTATCGAGCCAGAGGAGTATCCCACAGTTGCAGTGTGGGAGCAGAGAAGAAGAATGCAGCCAAAGCCAAGAAGAATGAGACCCAAGTTAAAGATGTGCAAACTGAGCCCATCTCCTTATCCTCTTCAACGGTCAAGACAAAAAGCTCAAGTCACAACAAAGACAGAGAAGGTTGTTCAGCGTACGGTTCACCCAACTCACATGATTGAGACGACCAACAGATTTGACTATCTCAGGTTGTGTGCTGTCACAGCGTGACGTAAGCAGAGGATAAGACTAAGGTTTTACTATAAAGGTTCAAGAGTTGTAATTGTTGGAATCAAGTTGAATAGAAATAAAGTTTTAGTCTTTCATCTTCATTTAAGCTCTTCTTCTCTGTTATTTATGGTATCAGAGCCTCACGGTTCTACGCCATGGAAAAGAATGATTATGTTTCCACACCATCTTTGAGTATATCTCAGTGTGTCACACTCAAGCATTCATCAACAAACTACCTTCTTTGGAAGACCCAGTCTGAATCGTCTCTGTCCAATCAGTCATTGCTAGGGTTTGTCAATGGAGGCTATGTTCGTCCTTCTCCCACCGTTACAGTCAGAAATGGAGATGAATTCACTGAGCAAGCCAATCCTGAGTTTGTCAAGTGGATTCGAAAAAACCAACTGGTTATGGTGTAGTTGTTTGGTTCACTGTCTGAAGAGGCTCCGTTTAGTATATGATCTTCATTCTGCATAGGAGGTCTGATTCACTCTTGGGAAAAAATACAATATGGTCTCAACAACTCGGAAACTGGATCTTCAGCGTAAGCTACAAGGTATGGCTAAAGGCCAAAAGACTATATCTGAGTATCTAAATGGTGTTAAGTCTGTTTGTTACCAGTTAGACTTGATAGGATGTCCTTTGACGGAACAAGAGATAATTTATAGTGCTCTGTCTGGTTTGGAAAAAACTATGAAGCTATTTGTACCGTGATAGAACACTCAATGGATTATGTTCCTGGGTTAACCTTTGTTGGGGTCAAAATCGATACAACGAAATTAATAGCCAAAACTCCCCGCGAAAATACAAAAAGAACAGTTTTATAAAACCCGAGGAATAGTTTTATAAAACTCGAAAAATCGTTTTATAAAACTCAAGAATCGTTTTATAAAACTCGAGAAATCGTTTTATAAAACTCGAGAAATCGTTTTATAAAACTCGAGAATCGTTTTATAAAACTCGAGAATCGTTTTATAAAACTCGAAAATCGTTTTATGAAGCTCGAGAAATCGTTTTATAAAACTCGAGAAAATAGTTTTATAAAACTCGAGAATCGTTTTATAAAACTCGAAAGATAGTTTTATAAAACTCGAAGATCGTTTTATAAAACTCGAGAATCGTTTTATAAAACTCGAGAATCGTTTTATAAAACTCGAGAATCGTTTTATAAAACTCAAGAAATCATTTAATAAAACTCGAGAAATCGTTTTATAAAGCTCGAGGATCGTTTTATAAAACTCGAGAATCGTTTTATAAAACTCGAGAATCATTTTATAAAACTCGAGAAATCGTTTTATAAAACTCGAGAAATCGTTTTATAAAGCTCGAGGATCGTTTAATAAAACTCGAGAAATCGTTTTATAAAACTCGAAGATCGTTTTATAAAA